GGGAGGGGGGGGGGTGTTCCATGATTTAATACACCAGGAAGTGCCGATTGGTTTAAAGAACAGGAAACTATGTTTAAACTGAATGTTAGTAAATTGCAATGTCAAATCAACAAACCTACCGGTGCGACCGGAAAAGTACCCCCCCATAATATGTAGTCTGCGTAATTAACCTGTATAGTGATAATACTGAATAGGTAATACTACATACACAAGTTCTTCAAGTTTACATCATTCTGATAAGAAAACATACACAAGTGTTTAAATTTTCCATTATGTTGNGTAATTTTTGTCAATGGGTCTAAGCATACAGAATGTAAATATTGATCTATATCTACAAGTGTTTCATTATTACTTTTCATGATAAGATAACATTGAGCTATGAGGACAAGTGTTTCAATATTCCATTACCATGATAAGATAACATTGAGCTATGGGGACAAGTTTTTCAATATTCCATTATCATGATGAGATAAAATTGAGCTATGGGGACAAGTGTTTCATTATTACTTTTCATGATAAGATAACATTGAGCTATGAGGACAAGTGTTTTAATATTCCATTATCATGATAAGATAACATTGAGCTATGGAGACAAGTGTTTTAATATTCCATTATCATGATAGTATTACATTGAGGGAGCTATGGGGACAAGTGTTTCAATATTCCATTATTATGATAAGATAACATTGAGCTAAGGGGACAAGTGTTTCAATATTCCATTATCATGATAAGATTACATTGAAGTATATGTACAAGTGTTACAAGATTAATTAGATTATATTATCTTGATAGTATTACATTCAGGGAGCTATAGGAACAAGTGTTTCAATATTCCATTATCATGATAAGATAACATTGAGCTATGGGGACAAGTGTTTAAATATTCCATTATCATGACAAGATTTCACTTGCACACATGTTACATGTATAATTATTATTGTAAGCTTACATGTGTATATATTTATGTTTATATTATAAAGGATAGTCTGTTTGCCAATGCATAACCGTGACGTCATACATGATTACTTTCTGTGGTCACCACTCTTATATATATTTTAAAGGATAGAAAATAACTAAACACCAATACAACTCTTGATCAGCTGACTATCAACTGACGTAGGGATTTAGTTTCTTTAGTTGGTTACACTGGAAACCAGCCCTGTGGGTTCCACTGCAGTTATACCATGTATCACTCAGAATATAATCCTGCACATCCGATAGCTGACCGCAAACTTACATACAGTTAGGGTACAGGTACTTTAAAGTTTATTTGATTTGATATAAAGATATTTACATCTATCATTATTAAATCAAGTATATCACAATGAAATAAGTCGTACGATGTGATTTAGTTTAGACCCTGTAAGTAACTGTTCAGCTAATATGTGTGTCATTTTGGCATTAACCGCGAATTGGTTTTCCTTAATCGAACGTAACCCTTATATTTTTAAATTCATCTCCATTGTAATATAGTTTCAAGATTACCATACATGTAATGCATTGTTGTATGTTTAGTTGAGCTATACAGACTTCAAAATACGTTCATGAAATCTACATCTTTATGATTTCTGTGATATTTTTTACAATTATACTCCTAATTATTCTTGTAAAAGAAACCTTTGTACCTTTGTGTTATTAATTTCTAAAAGGTAAAGCAAGTTTTAACTAATTAAAATATTATTAGCCAAGAAAAGAGCTGATCAAAATTAATTGCCTCCTCTCACGTGAGATGATAACAACCTCTGTCGTCACAAAGCTTTTTGTAGTTTGACAAACCATGTATATATTTAAGCCAGTGTAAGTGGTAACACACGCATATACATGATTCATGAAGTCATCACAAAGTATCACAAGGCGTAGATGGTTGTTCCAATATTTTTGATAAGATAGTAAATCCACCAATTGTCTACCCAGTATCCTTTAACAAATTGCTTGGCTCTTCTGTGTTGGTATAAAGTGTAAATGATATAATCTATGAAAACAAATATGTTTATATCCTACATTTGATTATTTTGTTTTTGTTTTGTTTTAGGAACACACATTCAAATAAAGACGTTAATCAGTAATGGGGAGAGGACAACGCCCTATAAGTGGAGGGCTTGTGATAATACTGCTCATAACAAGTTCAAGCCCGATAACACACTCTGCTCTAATAAACGGAAACATTTTCAGCTCTACTGTAAAAACATTTACAGACAAGGTTGGATTTCCCGATATACAGGTACGAATCTTCATAGTTTTCGTAACAGGTAACTCGTTGTGATTTCTTTATAGACTTATTTGTTTTAATTGGTTATCGATATAACATTTCTTCCATGGTGTTTGAAATCGTACACGTGTACTAGACTATACGAGTGTACACAAGTACTAGCTTTTTCTGTGTTTAATTTTAGACTTATAGAATAAACCAAGTATATGGATTCATTTAAGGTTCAAACTTATTCTTCGGCAAGTTTTCGATGCCTTTCTCAGGTGTAACGTTTATCACGTGACTCTGGATAGCATTGTTTGACCTAATAGTGTTGGTTGAGGATGTGGTTCTGGTTCAGTTCATTTCCACTACATCTGTCATCGTTTTGTCAAGTGACACGCCGAGCGTCGAAAACTCCAGAAACACTGATTCTGTGAGGCAGCTTGCTGTGCTGTCAATATGGAGGGATCATGAACCTATTCTGAAATATGAATATATACATTTTACATATAGACAATGTAATTGCAATTTAATGCTTTCACAATTTTATTAACAGACATTATACAATGATGCCCAATCCACATCTTTCGAAGTTGAAGGAGTGAGTCTTGTAGCAGAAGTAAGTAATTGTTTATTACAATTTCCGTGAACGTGCGGCTTAGGATCAGTTCATTTTGTGTTGTAAAACTACAATGCAATCTAAAGATAAACAGAAAAAAATGCTTCCATTTAGTACCGATGCATTATTGTAAGGTATATAATTTATATCATTACGTTGTTTATGAGATTGTTTGAGTAGAGTGTGTTATTTTATCATGACAATGAGATCAGTATTTATGAGATTTGTGGAAATAATCTTTGATCCGTCTTTAATTCAAGTTCTTTACCCCAGTGTTGTTATCACTTACAAACTTAACTACGCATCGTGTATAGTATTATACGATTGAAATCGTTTTTACAAAAGCAACAACCATGTGTGGCTTGTCGTTTTTGATTCTGAAATATTTGTGATCCTTAGCATTTCAAAATATGCTTCAATCGTTGAATAGACGGCATAAATGTGGAGACGACACTCGTATAGAACGTACTTCCTCCGACAGCCGTTATAGTGTGCCCCAGTCCCGACTTATTGGATAAACCGTCTTGGATTAGGAAACGTTTTTGGTTTCCCACTCCTGGACAGGATTTTATCTGTCAACCATTTAATTATGACGTCACGTAAGAATGATTTGCGCAATTTACTTCCATTACTGCGTCATGATCATGTCAATTGTTACCCCGATCGGAAACCAAAAATCATTTCATTTCAAAGGGAAACAAGCATTTTCTCCTAAACTCGTGATGGCTGCCTATCATGTTTATTTAACAATCATTATTTTAATTTTCATATTGTGACAGACACTCCGTAATCCTCGTGTGTTTGTACCAAAGTTGCTGTTAACTAATTGGAGTAAGATAAATATGATTACCACCAAGCACTTGTTGGGAACCTCTGTATGTCTAACATTATATATTTGTTTGATATGATTTCGGTGGATTTGCATTGATTAAAATTCTAACTTTGAGGTGATATTTTTATGAATATGATTTTTTAGCTCACCTGGCCCGAAGGGCCAAGTGAGCTTATGGCATGGTGCGGCGTCCGTCGTCCGTCGTCCGTCCGGCGTCAACTTTTTACTTTAAACAACTTCTTCTCATTAACCAAAAGGCCTGGGGTGATGATATTTTGCCAGAAGCATGCTGGGATGAAGGGCTTCCAAATTTGTTAAAATAAATGACCTTCATCTATTTTCAAGGTCACAGGGGTCAAATACATTAAAATCTTTAAGCAACTTCTTCTGAATAACCAAGAGGCATAGGGTGATGATAGTTGGCCAGTAACGTGCTGAAATGAAAGGCTACCAAGTTTGTTCAAATGAATGACCTTGATTTATATTCAAGGTCACTGGGGTCAAACATGTTTAAAACCTTTAAACGACTTCTTCTGAATAACCGCAAGGCCTAGGGTGATGATATTTGGCCAGTAACATGCTGAAATAAAGTGCTACCAAGTTTGTTCAAATGAATGACCTTGATTTATATTCAATGTCACAGGGATCAAATATGTTTAAAACCTTTAAACAACTTCTTCTGAATAACCAAGATGCCTAGGGTGATGCTATTTAGCCAGTTACATGCTGGGATGAAGGGCTACCAAGTTTGTTCAAATAAATGACCTTGATTTATATTCAAGGTCACAGGGGTCAAATATGTTTAAAACCTTTAAACAACTTCTTATGAATAACTGAGAGGCCTAATGTGATGATATTTGGCCAGTAGCATGCTGGGTTGTAGGGCTACTAAGTTTGTTCAAATAAATGATTTTAAATCATATTCAAGGTCACTGAGGTCAAATATGTTAAAAACATTAAACAACTTCTTCTCAATAACCAAAATGCCCAGGGCGATGATATTTGGCCAGTAGCATGCTGATATGAAAGGCTACAAAGTTGTTCAAATGAATGACCTTCATTCATATTCAAGGTCATAGGGGTCAAATATGTTAAAAACTTTAAACAACTTCTTCTCAATAACCAAAATGCCCAGGGTAATGATATTTGGCCAGTAGCATGCTGAGATAAAGGGCTACAAAGTTGGTTCAAATAAATGACCTTCACCCATATTCAAGGTCACAGGGGTCAAATATGTTTTTAACCTTTAAACAACTTCTTCTCATTAACCAAAAGGCGTAGGGTGTCGATATTTAGCCAGAAGCAAACTGGGATGAAGGGCTACAAAGTTTGTCAAAATTAATACCTTCACCCATTTTCAAGGTCACAGGGGTCAAATATGTTAAAAACTTTAAACATCTTCTTCTCGATAACCAAACTGCCCAGGGAGATGATATTTGGTCAGTAGCATGCTTGGGTTAAGGGCTACCAAGTTTGTTCAAATGCATGACCTTCACCCATATTCAAGGTCACAGGGGTCAATTGTCTTAAAAAACCTCTAAACAACTTCTGATGAATAACCAAAAGGCTCAGGATGTTGATATTTAGTCAGTAGCATGCTGGGATCAAGGACTACTATGTTTGTTAAAGTGAATGACTTTGACTTATATTCAAGGGCGCAGGGGTCAAATTTGTTTAAAATCTTTAAACAACCTCTTCTGAATAACCATGGGTCCCAGGATGTTGATAATTTGCAAGTTGCATCCCGAGATGAAAGGCTATAAAATGTGTTCAACATAATGACTTTGTCCGACTTTCAATCACAGGGGTGAAATGTTTTAAAAGAAATTAACAGGATCTTTTAAATGCATTTTAATCATAAATACTGATAATTTTCCTGTAGCTTTATTTTAGATCACTTTTAAGGTTATAAGTATGAGATTTATACCAGGTGAGCGATGCAGGCCCATTGGGCCTCTTGTTTCATGTAGCATGCTGTTGATACTAAATGGTATTAAAACAGCTATGACTCTCCCAGATAGAACTATCAGATAAACATGTAAATTCACCGCTGCAATTTTGTTATGACCTTTGGTTATCCGCCTGTGATTTCAGTATTCCATCGTTGCGTATTGCAGAGTTATTTTCTCTTGGGAGCAGGTATTGATTGTTACGTAATTGGTTTGTGTGAGAAAATTACGTCGTTTTCTCAAAAATTGATGACGTTACTCTCACAAACAAATGACGTAACAATCAATACCTACTCCCAAGAGAAGATAACTCTGCAATACGCAAAGGCGGAATTGTCGACAGGTGATATATGACATTGCTAACTCTTTTTTCTACCACAGATTTCCAATTCATTGGGAGTCAAGTTTAACGGACCCGTATCAGCAGCAAAGAAAATCAAAGAGGTAGTGGAAGCAGAGGAAGGAAACTTTTCTCCTACCCTCTTATCCTCCCAGTGCTGCCAAAGTGTTGGGGTCTCTTACAGTTCAAAGTTCAAAACTGACGTAAGTTTGGACAGTGGATGTTCGTTAGTTAAGATAATACCTATTCGTGGATTTTACAACACACATTTAATTATAGTATAGAACCAATCGTTATTCCAAACCAGAATGTCGTAAGTAACGTGGTTTTAATTTTCTCAACACAAACCCATGAGTTGACCCTTTAAAATTTTCTTATCCTAATCGAAGGAACTAATGTCAATTTTAAATTAAGAAAGTATTCAGACATACAAAAAGGGGGATAAATAATGATATTTTCTTTAAAATAACTGTTCTCGCTTTATTACGTGGGGTATTTTTATTCAGTGGTTTTTACTCTATTTAGGACATGTAACGTTATTATATAAATGTTCTCGAGTTGACTGAAGGTCGACGCACTCTAATAAGAAGTGTTTAACCAGTTACAGTAAACCACTTGTTATTAGATTGCGTCGACCTTCAGTAAACTCGGGAACATTTCTATGATAACGTTACATGTTTTAAATGTCTTTTCTTTTTTTGTCTGTCTCTACAATTTTAAACATTCTGAAAGCTTTTGGACTTTTTAATAAAATATGAGTCACTATAGCCATTTTCAATATTCAAATTGATGTTTGTCTTTTATCTTTAACTTTGTTTGATGTTTTTATTTTGCATTTGTTTTTGTCGACCGTTTGTTGGCCCTAATGACCTCTCCTGTGTTGATGGGCCGTTAAGCATTGATAATAATAACTCTGTTATCAAAGGTGGCGTTGGATAGATCGTGTACGCAGATATCGAAGGATGCATCCCCTAACCGGAACTATCCCACAAAGGCTGTAGAGGATGCTATGAGGGAGAATGCTCGCCTAAACCCCAACCTAAAGTGGCAGTATTTTGCCAGCGAGGAAGGTTACTACCTCAGCTGGCCGTCTGTCCGACAGAGCGACTGTGATAACTACGACCCACGTTTCAGGTAGTTAGCTTTTTATTTTATTAATTTCCATTTTCACAAGAAAAAAAATCAAGTTGACACACATGATTGAATAAACACAATTGATGCATCAATTTATTGCTATTCCAGTTACAAAAAGGTAAATAAATAAAATAATTGAAAATAACAGAAATTATCACACTTCATTAATAGCTCATTGATGATGCATGACCAATTAATAATCTTTCGATAGCCACACAATTAACCATGGTGTTTGCTCATATATTAGGTTGCGAAAAGGGTTGGCTGCCTAGCCAATTTTGACAATTATGATACTATTATATGTAATGGAGAATATGGTCTTCTATTGAAATTGTATCCGGTAAACTGCTATCGTGCATTACACAATTGACTGTAACTTATATCTGAGGTTAACTTACAGTCATCCAAATTATTTCAATTTTACAATGCAAGGTATTACTATCATGAATACTTACGTTGTAGTGTCACAAAAACTGAAGCAGGAAGGAGCGCACTCTCCTAATTATTCAACTCTAAGATTCATAAATACATGCTGGATAATGACCATAATTCAACATCCACAGTATTATATACGATTGACAATTGTTAATGAATATATGAATATTTCTATGCATTGAATTAAGAAATATAATATTGCGATCGATCATTGTTTGATTATAGCATTACACTTATAGTTAATGTATGATAATGTTTATATTTTTATCCCAATACTTGATATATAGTGACATTTGGAGGTGTATTCAACAGGATCAATCGTGTCATTTTTATTTCGTGCTACTTATACTACTTGCAGACCGTTCTATGTGGCGACGGCTACTCCTGTTCATAAGGACGTGGTCGTCATATTGGACCAATCAGGGTCAATGGCTGGACTGTACAATGGGGTCACGTTGATGAAAATCGCACAAGACGCCGCTAACACTGTTCTGGAGACGTTAAATCCAAATGATAGGGTAAGTGGTTCAACGTTTTGCAATACGTTTCGATATTTCAAACTATGAAAGTTACTATTTAAAATCCGACCATCAACAAGGCAAAGGAATGAAATCACTTTGAATAACTACTCGATGAATCGGCTACTATCACATTTGAATAAAAATACTATTACTAAACCTCTTCAATGGATCGTTTATTTACATATTGTTACCAATACTTAAATTGAAAAAAAACTCTCTTAAACTACAGACAGTTTCCAATGCTCAGTATCTTATGTTCTGAAATATGATATTATCTCTATGTCATAAGTGATGTCATTGATTTGTCATTTTGATCAGTGAATGTTACTGCGTAGGACATGTAAGCTATTGACTTCTCTTCTGGGAAATAAACCTTATTTGAACAAGTTTGCCGTGAAGGTTTTCTGCTTTACTTTTTAAATAATTACCGTTCGAACCGCTAATATAAAGGCATTGTGTTTGCAAGAAAAAAGAAAAAAACGCCTATATTTTCTTATCATGAGTTATCCATCCGCCAAACATCTGACAAAATGTTAAAAGAGTGTTTTCAAATATTTTTGAAGAGCTGTTTGCGAAATATGTTCCTAATTTAAAGATGTTTTTTTGACGTTAATAACAACCTCCAAAACGTCCAAACAGTCACTCGTGTTTGTTAGCGCTGTAACTGGAGTTCAAAATAAAGGCCTCTTTTTTTCAAGCTGGACAGCTCGCTGCGGATGAATACAATATGCTCGCTTTAGGTCAATTCGTAGCTTCGTATTTCTAGTGCTAGGGCTTCCGCTGTCGGTAGCCAAAGAAGCCATTGGCTCTTTCCTTTTTATCATTAGTTACTAGCTTGAAAAATAGAAAACAATCTGCAACTAAAACCAATAATCTGTCCCCTACTTGTGTACTCTGGCCGACTACAATTGTGTATACATGGCTGCATTTCTTTTATTTATATAAAAATTGTTTGTTTCGCCTTCATGAAATGCATGTATTTGTTACCTTTATCTAGGTTTCGGTTGTCGCCTTTGAGTCAAACGCTGCAATTGTTGGAGTATCAGAACGTTCGTGTCTCAACCTTGAATTAGCATTGGCAACGCCGCTAAACCAGAAATATCTCAAGAGAAAGATAAACAGTCTGACAACAGGGTTTGCTACAAACTATGAAGCGGCACTGACAAAAGCGTTTGATGTTTTTGAATCGTCTTCTAATATCCTAAACGGTACACATAGAGGTATACTATTTCAATTTATTTCATTCACACCTCACGTTGAGTTTCATGGCATGGCTATGTTCAGCACGGATATATGTATATAATGATAAGAATGCTTCTTTCATTGAATCTTTCATTTGTTTTTACTGGATGGCTAGAAATAGTGTTCCTCTTTTGAAACATTCAACAAGTCAGATAAATACGGTATATGACAATGATAAATAAAACAAAATTTGTCACGACTTATGTTTGCATTTAAAAGACAAATATTTCCTATATGCAGAATTCCAGGATATTATTTTTTAATTATTTTGTAATTGATCACTTAAACACATATAATGGGTACCGCATGTGGTGCCGCACCAACACTTACCCTTCCTAAGAAGCTGACATGTTTGTGAGGTGGCTTATAGTGTTGCTGATATCCGTCCCGTCGCGATCCAATGTAAACACTATAGCAACTTCATTCTTTGACATATTTTGATCAAACTTTATCCAAAGGTCCAGTATGAGAATACTGTTGATATCTCTATGTGGAGGGTTCCAAGATCAAGGTCAAGGTCAATGTTGCTGTATATAAAATAATCATCAACTGATTAGTTGTGCTCACTGTAGCTTCTTTATTTCTTAACAGATTTTGATCAAAGTTTATACAAATTTTAGGAATGAGAATACCTTGGATAAGTTTATGTTTCAAATGTCACTGTATGTTGGTATTCATAGAAAAAAAATCGGTATTTCTCCATTTATCACCTTGAAATATGATTATACCTTGAATGTTACATATTTCAGGGTGTCAAAATTAAAGTTGTACCTATTTATAGAAAAATTATCAATCACTGAAACGTAAATCTTAAGGTCATTTTCTATTTTCTATTTTTATTTCCACAAATTTGAATTGTTTTGTTTTCAGAACAGGTAATACTGTTTCTAACAGATGGGAAAAAAACGGCTGGTGGTGATCCACTAACAACGATAGCACAAAGAAATCAAAAACTCGGGAACAGAGTTATGATCTTTACCTACGCTCTTGGGAATTGTAAGTTGTAATCGCTGTAAATCAAAACCTTCATGGATTCCCATCTTTTCACCACTAGTACAATTTCTATGTACAGATATATATAAACCATTTACTGTCCAGTTACAAACCAAACGGTGAATTGTCTTCAGGTTATAGACTGTTATAATGGAGAGAGAAACAATTAATTTTCTGAGCAATGCTCACTTATGTTGTTCTGAAGTTGTAAAATCTTACTTCTTTTCACAATGTTAGAGTATGTATAGCGGAGGGTAGATCAAAATAGGGTACTACTGTAACTGGCAAATACGCAATGCCATCATTAACAACATATCATAGTAAAGGGATAAGTTATCCATTTAACATGTCTTAATCATTTACAGCTTTTGATGCGACGGACAAAACGTTGTTAGAAAATATGGCTGCTCAAACTCAAACGAATCCTTCATATGGAGTAATCAAGGTTTGTGGTTTGTATCTGATATTTATAACATTACACTTTAAGCTTTACACACATGTTAAGGTACTTTCTATCTGTAAATAAATCGTACAAGTAACTGGATATATTTAACAACTATTCGTTCTATTTCAAGTGCTTTAATATATATATTACTTAGTTCTACATTAGGTAGTATGCATAAGGTTGAGTTTCTGCATTATTTGCTTTAAAAAGTATGATATTTCTGTGAACAACCTGTAATGTAATTTTGTATTTTGTATTTGTTGGTTCAATGATAATGACCTCAAGCATTATTCACCCTCTAAACATATGCAAGTTAATAGAGTCTCTCGTATGTAGGTATACGGGAGATAGGGCAATTCTATCGGAAGTTGTAGAATTTGGGTATCAGAGCAGAGGTTTCCCAAGGTCGTAGCTGTCAATCCTCCCTCATTAGGAGGAAGAGTCCCTCATGTTGACCAGAATTTACCCATATCCCTTCGAAACTCCATTATCGAAGTACATACTTGCACACACTCAAAATCTACTTCCTGTGGTCAAATGATCCCCTAGTTACTGCAGGGTGTGGGAAATTATCATAACAGGTTTGTCTGAATCAGATTCATAAAAAGGGAAAGATAAATTGAACAAAGCAGTGTCAATCACATTTCACTCATTTCTCCTTCATTGGAAATATGGAATAAGGGAGATTTCTCCCTCATTAGCGGTTTCAAGGTTGACATCTATGCTAGATACTGAGGCCAAAATCTATTCAAAGGGTAAACACTTTATAGCCTAGATTACCACTTAATGAAAGACTTGTTTTCTCTTATCTTTAACTAAAAAAAATAGGTAAAATCGACAATAAAATTCCGAATACAACAAATATTTGTTAGATAATTTATGAATTAACCAAGAACATATTAAAAAAAATCTGAAAAAAGTGTGGGGTACTTGATGCATACTATTAAATCAAGCTGCAAATGCTTTTCAAGCAGTGTACATTTAATGACGTCAGGTATCACATTTCAGAATGTCAGCCGACCTGGTACTAAACACTTAGAACTCAAACGATTTAGAACAAAAATAGAACAGGTAATTCCCAAATTTGAAATCATCAGCGAAGCGAAAGTAAGACAGGATTTCTTTAATTTCATGTTGTAAATTTTACCCGGTTAATTTTGCATACGTAGATGTGCAGACACCTTTATCTCATGTTTAGCACTCATAAAGAATACCAACTCTTTACATGGCTGCACACATTAAATTCTTGTTCAAAAACGTATATTGCTAAATCTCAACAAGGAGTTGTTTGCATAAACGCATTGCGGACAGTTTCCAATACTCATTATCTTGTTTGCTAACGTTCTGATATATGATATTATCCCTTGTCATAAGTGGTGTCATTTGTCGCCAGCTACTGTGTTCAACATGTAAGCCATTGGAAATCCCAGCTAAGAGTAAGAAGGAAAAACTCTGACATTGAGTGTTAAATGTAAACGGGCTTTGAATTTCTTTATCCCCATACCTCCATAAAATTATCTCCATTTAACATTTCAAATGGTGTTTTTTTAAGTATTGCAAGCTCACTTAAACTTTATTTTACGGTTTATACAGGGAGGCGAGTACAAGCAGATTATAGATCCTAGTCTCCTAAGAAGTTCCATGGCGTCCTACTACAACAGGTTCAGCAGTAATGAATATCGGACTGAACCTGTCTTCTCAGTACCTTATATAGACCTCTTCGGATTAGGTAAGTAACACATACAGGAGGTCTCTCTTCGCGGGCTGCCGTTTTCTTTAGATGGAGGACCCTGATGTCTAAACAAATAGGATGAAATCAATTGCATGACATTTGTGTACAGATTTGTTCTGTTTAAGTTGCGTTATGTATGGTCTATCATGTATCATTGGTACCATTAATTGACTCGTAGTAATTTTCGAGTAATAGAAGTTGGTTTTTTGTCCTTATGCATTGTTTTTTCATTTCACATATGCATAACAAAATAGGCATTAGCACATTACTATGTCTTAATAACTACCTCTTTTTCCCTCGGTATAACATTAAATACTTTATTTTGAAATCCAAATGAATTGGATAAATATATTTTCATTCCTATTGATAAGCAAACTATGTCTTTATTTGTTTGTTTTCGTTTTTTGTTCGTTTACATAATAATACACAGTACTGAATAAGACACAGAAAAAATAATAGACATGATGCCAATATGCTTATTTGGTTTCGTTTTAGGTCTGATCACGTCAGTATGTTTACCTGTGTATAGAGGTTCAGGAGATCTGATGGGTGTGTCTTGCTCTGACGTCACGATGGCGGATCTTCTCTCAGACATAACATATTTTCACGAGGGAGACTTATCTTATGCGTTCATCATAGACCAGTATGGCCGCACACTTATGCATCCTCAACTACCCCAACTCTCATCTGTAAAAGACGACCCAATCTTTGTCCACATCGAAAATCTAGAGAGATCATCTGGTGCAGCGACTGTCATTCAAGAAATGTTGAAGTATGTCATGTCTTGATATTACGATAGGGAAACATCTTTTATGAAATTGTTTCTTTGCCTAATTGAGAGTTTTATGTTCATATTAAAGTTACCGTGCCGCCATCTGTTGTTAAAAAACTGCGGTTGAAACTGAAGTTATAAAATTTCATAAATATTTTAAGTATACTGGTATGAAAAGATTTGAACTTAAGTTTATGTCAAGTAAAAACGGGCGAAGTCTTTCCTGACTAATTCTTATCTCCCTGCGCGCAAGGTTGAGGCCATGTTTACGTGTTATCATGCCTTAGCATTACGATTTAACGGAAAGTTAAAAACCTTTCCTATGTAAGAAGAAAAATAAATAAAAGTCTGTTTATCCTTTTGATAAGAAAAATGAGCGAAGGTTTGCGGCACGGTGCTTTAAAGTGGTGTATTTTTACTACAGGGGGACAACTAACAAGACAAAATTCAATTCACAACGGACGATTCCCCGTGGCAGTGTATTGTATGAAGGCATTGAGACCCGTTCTGTTATATCTACCTATGCGTGGGGTTCGGTAAGTAAAATGATTGATGTAAACCAGGTACACTTTTATTATGAAAATGTAAGAAATATACACTTTCTGTTGAAACAAAATTTTATTTAACTTTCAGTTATTAAAATGAAATGTTTTTGTTGAGATTTTTCTGTCTTACCCACTAAGTGTGAAAATTAATTGATTGATTTGTTGCGTTTTGTAGTTCGTTTCGGGTTGCCTTATTGCATACAAGTTTCATTTCAGATATAAATTACCAGCTGCGTCACCTACTCCCCTCACCACTGTTAGTAACTTGTTTTAATCTGGAGTTTGCTATATCAATTTAAAATGTATGTCCCACCCACAGGTGCCTAACAGTAACCTATCTATGGCGATAGTTGTTGGGGAAGGAGACACACTGGCTCGGCTCCAGCATATGACACCCAACGGTGACGTCTTCAACTACCACAGACTGGACTGGGACAACTCTCCCGGAACTTCCTTCTGCAAGCATTTCAACAGATATTCAACCAAAGGTATAACATTATAACAAAACTCAACCAACGAAAATCATTTTTAAAATCTGTTTTGAAATTAAGATATAAATATTATTTAAATAAAATTGACTTTATTTGTGAAAAGAATATTTATTCAAAGTCAACTAATTAACAATGTATTCTTTAAATAAATACTCTGTTTATTTGTAGATTATTCAATAACTATGTTAACACCTGGGGCATTTAAAGATCCAATTAACTACCTTAACACAGAGGAAACTAAAGCAATAGTAACAGTATATGAGAATTTTCTCCGAGGTACTACAACTACCAACCCTGGATTGAAGGTAAGTTCTCGATGTACTAAAACAATTTGAAAAATACTGTTTCCGTTGAGTAAGTCAATACCAGTCGACATGATTTGATTCTACACGCTATCGAATATAACTCAGTCTACGAATATGACTTATCATTTGCGCGATAGTTCTCGCTATGTATTTTAGTCGCCCATTTAGCGATGTAATAAGGCAACGGCAGAAAACTCATGTCAAAGCTAAATTACATTACTGCTTTGTATTTTGTTTTCATTTCGGACGGTGTCTAAAATTCACAAAATAATCTTAAATGAGTGTTCGTTAAATATGATATCAATGAAAGGGATTAACCGGTCTTGAAGACAAAATAGGTATAAAGATACTTCTTTGAGCCAATGAGTAAATAATTATTTGAAGTTGATAAAAACAATGAAATAATGACGGAAATAAAACTGACCCTACGCTCATGTGTGAGTCAAAATGTGTGGATGTGGTTTAAAAAATGCCAGAACATATAAATCGTGTGCATCATAAAAACATAAAAATCTTATCACGATACATTAAACCATTCGATCCATGTCTTTACCTATCAGACAAAAAGGCTGTGAAAACTTATAAACTGTAAGAAGTTAACCATTTTTTTTGTATCATGGAAATCTACACATTTTAAACAGAAAATCCTGTCGATAACGTCTAAAGATTTCTGAAGAAAAGCGTTAACATTTCTATGGCATTAAATTTATACAAACGACTAAACATATATTTTCATGGCAGGACTCTGTGACCAACTCCGTGACCTTGACCTATCAGGCAGAGCAGATGTGGAAGGCCAATCAGGAGCAGGAACAACTTGTGCTGTGGCGGTATATTGGTACCACTGATGGCATCATGCGGCTCTACCCTGGTGCGCAGCTTCCAAAGAATTACGACCACACCCGCAGACCATGGTACGTTTCTATAGCTTTAACTTCTGGATGCCATATGAGACAGAAACTGCATACACCCCAAACGAGAGCTGCAGGATTTGTTTACAATTGTGTTTAGTTCCCGATGTCATTTTATTTCCTTATAGACTTTGAGTTTTATATTTACCCTTACGTTTTAACGGTATAGTCATCAGCTATTCTAATTTCAAGGCATAGGTAACCAATTTAATCTAAAAAGAAATCTATATCACAAAATCTTTTAGACTGTTTACTTCTAAAGTTCATATGAAAAGGAGAATTTTAAGTTTCTACGAATTCACAGAGCTAAAACACATGTAGTAATTGAATTATTTAGGCTCGTTTATTCATTCATTGCGAGCCAAAATTTAAAGCTATCATTCTGATTATCTAACCCAACACGAACTAACCTTCATTCCTCATCATAATTAATTGCAGGTTTATCAGATCTGTTGCGCTAAAAGGGAAGATAGTTTTCAGCAGTCCATACCTTGACCAGTGGTCTTTGGGCTATGTCATTACCGTCTCTACAACCATCCAGGAAAAGAGGTAAGTAAATATGTTGTTTGAAATCATTTAATAGATCAACAAAACAGACATCTTTTAAGTACATACTATTCATTTCCGAGACATCGGAGGTTAATAAATTTGAGACGCACATGTATATCCGTAATGTAACGAATTCGATTTGATTAATTGAGACTCTATCCATTTACAAAGTGATAACCTATGGAACCTCAAGCTTATACTCAATTCAACCAACATTGTGGTTTCGGGACATATAGATGTCATACAAATATATATAATTTTTCACTGTAAAATGATATAGTAAACGATGTTGTAGTTTTCAATTGAACGACTTCGGGGGGAAATGATATAGATACGAAAAACTAATGATACGCTAAAAAAAGACGCAATTATGAAAGGAAAGCAATTGTTACTATTTAGTGACTTTGATTTCCGATTGGTTTTTGCCAAAGAACGCATGCAAAAAATTCGCAATTGCATGAAAATTTTACTTTCATCGGTATTAATTTTGATGGTTTATTCGTGAAAATAGGCCTTCAATTTGTGCAGCAAGTCTCAGATCTATGCAAAGGGTCAAATGTACTATTGCACTTTTTATTCATAATAACAGAGACTAATGTTGTACTTAATCTTCAGTACTGGTAGTTCAACGCCTGTAGTTGCTGTCGCGGGGACAGACTTCCGTGTTCCTTACATGTATCAACTTTTACTGAGCTCTTACTCTAAATGTTCAGAGACAACATACAAGTAAGTCGTTGGCGTCAATTTCTTTTCGTTGTCGATCACTCGAAACTGCTATAAAATGTTGGTTTCGTAATCGCTGTTTTGCATATTTTAAAATTTGAAGAAATAACATGTTAGATCAATTGTAAAACTAAAAATGCAAAGTAACTAACGCAAATTAGATAAACATGATAAAATAAAGACATTCCTTGCGGAACGTCTTTTACACTTTATAAACCAACGCATAGTGATGCTATGGGTGTAATGTAATATTAAGACATTTTTTTCCCAGTTGTCTGGTAGTAGATAGCAGCGGGCTCGTTGTTGTACACAAGGATTTTGTGGAGTTCACAGGCGAACCAATGATTGAAAATATGCATATAACACAAAAGGTAATGATTAGTGTAGACCAAACGTTATCGTCACATCTCAACATAAATAGTTAAATATGCATCATGGCAGAATATGTAAATATGTAAATAAACACTTAGGTATGAATCATTGCATGCTATACATTGTTGTCTAATTATGACTAATGAGGTGGTAATGTAAAAACACAAATAGATGTCATTACGGTAAAGACATGCAATTGTTGTGTTATAACCCTGATATTACAACGATACATAAATACAAATGTAAGTACATATATGGCTTAAATGTGTATTATGCCACTCTATGTGCTTACATACATATATATACTTTCATAATTGGTATCATGATAACTTGCTGGAGCTACTCATTAAAGCACATCTCATATTGCTGTCTTAGTATTTATGAATCGTTAAGACAGAATAAATACATCGGAACGTTTATATATATATAATCCTGTCTTGTGTTATATACAGTTTATAATACCTATACTGAGATACATGAACTAATTCGTGTTTTAGTGTTGATACTTTTTGAGGCTTGTAATTCCTTTAAATATTTACAGGAACCAACGATTGCTGAGGATTTGCTTAACAATCAACTCATGATAAAAACCAGTTGTCTAGATTTCGAGAACATCAAAGAACAGTTTTCTTACCGAGTAAGTGTCCATGTTACTCCTAGCTGCTCTTTTTCTTAGGTAATAACTATATATCCAAATTGACCGAATTTATAAAATAAAAGTGATTTGAGGTGTATCTAGTGTATTTTATTGGATATGCATTAGGTAGGGCTTGGCAATAATATTGAAGCATGAATATAGGAGGAGTTTCCATGTTATATGGAATTCATGAAACGAGTCTAAGAAATTTTCATTTTAGCAAGCCTCTGGCGAGCTAAACTAAAAACTTCGTGACGAGTTTCATAAATCTCATATGACATGGAAACGAATGTAAAATACTTTTTATCATTTAACTGAAGTACTGTCCTTGCATTCGTTAAAACAAACAATTACATCGTCCGTCATTTCATGAGGTGTTTTTTGTTTACATGACCGAAGCACTACTATCAAAATGTAGGTCAGATCTATCTGCGGTTTCACAAATACAGAAGTCACAAATTTCTTTTTTTTTAAATCACTCAAACAACATGGAAAGATATTTATGTTTAATCCATTTGTGCAATGTTGTGGACGAATATAGAGCTTCATCTGAAACTTTGAGAAGATTCTTAACAAAACAAGAGCAACAAATGCACACGGTTCACGCTACGTCATAGCGCACGACAATACAAAGTGTCACATTTCGTGAAAATTTCAGGTGTCAACAGCTTTACTGAGACTGACTATCACTGTGCGATTCGATCTTCCTACCTACGTCGTCTCACTGGTTTTGGAAGTGTTATGGGAGATTGTTGATAAATATTAATGCTGAAAGGTCCGCCGCAAATGTTTCTTCCAAACACAAAATGCACATTTCGATGGAACCAACTGAAAATGTTGTGTCCGCCTTATTTACTACGTAGTGCGGAGTAATTTACCATCGTGGGAAAGTGTGATGCGGTCAACCAGTCAAAATCACTCCAGGTCATCTAAGATGAGTTATGCAAAAATATGAAATGGATGTATTCACTGCATAACAGGGGAGTTATATGATAAATTGTAATACATGTAACATAATGGGCTGTAATTATAGGTACTTAATGATAAAGGATGGAACCATCTTATAATATATAAGACAGTGGGTATCAATAGAGTGCAGCACTTTGGTCAAAAGAACATTTGAGTAACACCGTGCATTGATTGACGGGGGACTGTTGAATTGAAGATAATGCTACCGGGCTATCGATCTAGTGGCAACCAAGTCAGTCATGGATGACATAGAGATAGGAACGAGAGTGTGAACTCCCCAAACCAGACAGGGGCAACTGTCATTGCCATATGGTACATCTAGTATTGTTGTTTGGAAGGGAAAAGTTAGCTTAAACGTTAGATTAGAAGTTTGTTTAAAATTGCTGCACGTGCCTCATTAGTTATGTACAATGGGTGGTACCTAATCATAAATAGATAATTTTGTATAGATTGTTAAAAGTACTTGGGGATAATTTCATAGGTAGTCTGGGAGATAGGAGTGAGAGTCCAGAGTGGAGAGATGGGGATTCGGGGTTCGGGAATGGGAGCATCTGGAGAGAGGGGCCAGGTAAGGCCTCGACAGGTGGGGCATGTGATGGCCCGGGTACAGCACCTATGCACTGTCGTTTTCCAGAAATATGTTTAAAAAAAAGAGGGCAACCACTAGATTTAAGACTGTCGCGGCCACAATGCAATCCACAGGTGTTGTTTAGCGTGTTATATACCATACGATTGAGGTATTATGTATATAGATCTGGTCCTTGACCAAGAAAGACGTTGTTTTTTTTTACCAAAAAAGTCGTTTTCTAAATTTCTCCTGACATTACTCCTGAACGCACGTTGTATGTTCTTTCGCACGAGAACACTATTTTTTCATTTATAGGTGTGTTTTTTTTCAAATATGTGAAATATTTCACAGAAGCAATACGAAATATAGAGGTCATATGTTATTTTTGCTTTAAGATACTATTATATCAGCTAACTGGTGTTATATTTCAAAGTACATTTTGTAATATAGTTTTGATCGGTTACGTTCGGTGAAATGAGTTCATGAATGATTGGTGTTAATTGTACTGAAAAGCGGGCTTGACATTTCTGTTTTAATTCTCTGTTAAATTTATGTCATGAAAAGCAGTCTTACTGTAATGTGTCAAGTTTCATTCTATGCTTTATTGATTTTATANAGCAGTCTTACTGTAATGTGTCAAGTTTCATTCTATGCTTTATTGACTTTATACATGAACGTGCCATATCTCTAGTATAATTATTTTGTCGTTTACAAAGGAGGTAATTTGCCCTTTGCACTCTTCATACATATTTTTGATTATTTGATAGATCAGTTTGTCAAGCAGCTCTGATAGGATGAGCAGTTCAGCTGGCTATGAAATACATCCGGTCGCCGATACGAACATATTTGTAATCATCAAGAGGATTCCTTCATTATCTCAGAGTTCATGTTGTACGGTGAGTTTTTTTATGTCACAATTTTCAAATGGTGGAAGTTGTATGATAGTAATTGGACCCTTTTGAAAACTCTCATAGTCTGTATTTGACATGATATATGGATACTGTTGGCAAAAGATATTTCATAACTTTATACTTTTGAAACAAAGATAACTTCATTATAGAAATTTCGACATTGACATTGGAAAATTAATTCCTTTTCTGCGGTATTTTTCTTTTAGGAGAGTAGTGAGAGGGTTTATTTAATACCTTATTTAATTATCTTAAAATAAAGATTAGCCATGCTCAAACTGATAGAATGCAGTTAATCTATTTTTATCTTTGAAGAGAATAAATCAAATAATGAGTATTTATGCTATATCTAGTACGAATGATATATGTCGTTTGCTTAAAGCAAATAATTACATTGCATGCATGTAATTAACAACAGGTCTATTCAGTCTGGTTTGGTCATACCTTTTAGGTATTTATGAACATCGTCTACCATTATTTAGACATATTCTTGTATCGCAATTTTAAGTGTTATGTATTTCATCAAATTATTTGTTTATTTGTTTTACAGTCCTATGGCGTTTCTCCCGACAAGCGGCTGTGTGGTACAATATCCTGTGACTGCCTGTGTTATAAACAAACATTTTTCAACTATTGTTTGGACACGTATCCATTATTGAGGTATCATCCATATTCAAACTTTGTAATGCTACCCAGATAAAGGTGTTCTATAGCTATGCCAAGAAGCTTAACTGAATGCCAGCCAATTTAATGTTAGTATCATGTGTTAAATTGACAATTATGTTTTTTCATAATCAATATTTTATCTTTGTTTACAATGATTTTATCCTTATAATAAGGAGCTTTTCCATTAACAGATCACACCCTCATTTCAGTTATGAGCATTTAAGATAAAGGAAAACTATTTTTTTCCTAATAATTTAGACTATTTTGAATCTTACTTTTAGGGCCCCTAGCATCATCGACGAGTCCTGACGAAACAAAAAAAAACCGTAAACAATAAACAACAAAATACAACAAAAGATTATATTTTTCCTTCTGTGTATATTGCCAAATTGGGAAGGTGCAATGACCTGTTTGTATTACGATACAAGGCTGTAAACTTTATTGGTGGATTCTTTAGTCCCCGAGGTTTGCTGTAGCTTTGGTGGTCACAGTTACTCTATACATCTAATTCCATTCAAAATTAACCAATATTCATTTAATTTTTTAATTCATAATTCAGGGGTTTTACGACCCCTAGCATCACCGACGAATCCTTGGACGAAACAGCTGTATAATGAAGTGTCTTACTGTTTCTTATGACGTTTAAAAGGTGCAACCATCTATGTGTGTGTGAATGTGTGTGTTACATGCATCTCTCTATATGAATATTGTCGTTTTCTTTTGCCTTCGAGTTCTTTTTCATTTATAAGTTCGATTTGCATAGCCATAAATATTTCAGTATGCTCAAGGAACAAGTCAGTAGAATATAATTTAACGTCCTTAAACTTTGCAACTGTATTGTAGTGACACTGCCCCCACCTGCAGCCCACAGCCTCCCGACCTATCAACTGAGGGCCTGGCAGATACTGATCGGGTAAAACACCTTGGCATCTGTTTTGATGCTCAATGCTCAGGAAGATCCACGAAAGGGTGCGTCTGATGTTTTACATATAATTGATTCGGTTATAACAAGTATATTACTTTTGGAATGTACTGTACTGCATTGGGTGTAAGCTTAAACAATGTTGACAAAACATTTTTTGTGTGATAGTAATTGTTATCATACACCAGATATTTCCCATTTTAAATGTTGTTAAGACCTTATTATATTTGAACCAATTATGGTTATGTGAGTATTCTTATTTTGTCGTCAAACTGTCTGGTAAAAATTGTCCCAATGTACTTAAACGAACTATTTTTAACAGGAGAAATACATTTCTTCATTCAACTCCTTGACCTCTGATAAAATCATTTCATTGAAATGTGATTTTCAATATCCTGTTACAGAGGATGTCACAATGTGTCGGGCTGTAGCTGGTGCTACCTAGACAATGTCAACGATGCTCTAAGTAAACCATTTTGTGGAACAGTTTACACTTGTCAACATGGAGCTCTTGCAACAAGTGATCCTAACTGCTCTGGTAGTAAGTGAATTTTATTACTAATTCGACTTTTTACCTTTAAAAGCGCTTTATAAAGCTTTAAAGGGTTGATTTCCTCGAAAGTTCGGACGAGGTTGATAACGACCATTTTCTGACAGCAGTTTACGGAATTATGCCCCTTTTTCAATTTCTTAAACGGTGTCCGTTTCCTATCTCATACCTTCATAGGAAGTTTGTACACAGTGCAAGCTCGAAAGAGTTCGATAGCCACCATTATCCAACTGTAATGTACGGAACGATGACACTTTATTCGATTGCCGACACGTCGTTTGCTCAATATCTCGGGAGTATTTTTCACCCGATTAACTTAAACCACATAAGCTTGTACACTCACCATTGTCTGATCATAATTAGTGGAGTGTTATCACCTGGGTCAGTGTAGTGAGTGTAATCACATTATCTAACCGTAATTAACAGAGTTACTCCCCATGGTTTCATTAATGCAAGCCTACATGCATTCAGTAATGTTTTGATGCACTCATTGTCTAACAGATATGTTGATTTTTCTCTTCTTTAACATCAAACATCCAAACATATTTCACATAAAGCTGATTATACCGCTTTCCAGAGACCTAGATAATCTTTTTACTAGGATAAGTGATTCTTCCCTTCACCATAGTTAACTTAACTGAATTAACCGTCAGCGCCCTCTATGTGTCTTCTTAAATATGAAGAAAGTACTTAACACCAACACAGGTAAATGCTATGTACTTGAAATGTGTAAAGACTGTTTAAATCTTTCGATCTTTGGATTTTGTTTTTAAGTGAAATCAGAAACTGCTGCTTTTCGACAAAGACCAGGATAAAACCAATATTAGTGAATATAAGTCGGACATAATGTGTTTAGACTCATTTATCGTATCGATAAGTTACTAGTCTTATACCTGTCAACGGAAAAAGATGTGACGTTATATTTTTATTTAGAGAAAATGTAATGGTTTCTCGTTGACTGTCATATATATTTTTAATGAGTATCACACATGTGGAAAACGCAGGTCTATTCTGCCATACGATTGTAACGCTATTGTGTTCAACGGAGACACCATTATATATTCTATATAGTACGGGGATTAGTAGTCTAATCTTTGGTGTTACATCTTATTAACCTTACGCTTGACAAGAAGGCTGGACGGAATTATAAATGGGCACATTTTAAGCCTTTTTATTTTCTTGCAAGATTTGCTGACAGAATTGTTATTTATATATTAATACCTTACCATTGCTGACCCGAGGAATTATTTCTCCTTAAACATCAAACATTCACAAATATTTTATATATTTCAAAGGCAGCAAAAACTGGTTGTTCAACGTATGTTGGTCGTTTTGTATACCGCTTCGTGGTGACCTTGATAATCCTTCTTCTGGCATAAGTGATCCTTCCCTTCGCCATATTTAACTTAATTACTTTAAATGGAGTATCATCTATGGAAAATTCGTGAAATTTTGATTGGTTCAGCGATCCTTTTTTTGTTTAATTGCGTAATGCCAAATGTGCCTATCAGGTACAGGGCGCGGAACATGTCATGGTTCATGTGTCATCATCTCCCGAAGTGCCAGCAAAGAACGATTTGTGTTGATACGCTGGTCTTCGTTTTTTTTCAAGTTCTGGGGCCTCATGCACTTAACTTATTTAGTGTGTCTTAATTGAATGTTACAAGTGCTACTTTCCATACCTTGAATTGACGTTATTAACGTTGTGTGATTACTGATATTGATGATTTTCTGACGCGTTTCTGTTGCATTTTTAAATTTTTGTGCACTCAATTACAAGTGAGATTTCTCGCACGTGGGACTTTTGCGTTGTGACTGTTAAACTGATCGAGGTATGGAAGTTTTGTTGAACATTTCCACACTGCGACAATTTCCACTTTAACGGTGACTAATCCGAAATTCGTATCGATGAAATATATTTAATATATTTTTTTCTAATTTGACTCTTTGTAGCGTAATCATAAAGCAGTTCATAAAAGTAATTCAAATTATTGTCATATATAATGTGCACGTTCCTACTATCAAGCAAGTCAGTTCAATTTGCGAAAATCCTCTAATGTGTAGGTTAGTCATGACACTCACATTGTAAGTAACATTATAAATGCGTTTTTAGTTTTAGTGATATAATGACATTACATTTCAATACTCACGTGCGAACATTCGAAAGTAAGCAAACCACCCTAATATATTGTTCAATCATAGATTAACGGTATAAACATTTAATTGTTTACAGATTCCTGCGGGGATGAGGATGGAGGAGGCAGTGGTGGTATCATTGCTGGTGTGATTATTGCTATCCTTATCGTATTAGCTATAGTAATAGGAATAGTATTATGGAGGCGGAAACAAGCTGGAGCTAGCAGCAGCTCTCCTAGTCAGATAAATGGTGTTGCTAACCCTGCCATGTCAACATCGCCAGCTCCATCCAATAATGCACAGCCAATGTCAACATTTGCATCATGGGAACCAGGACTGTCAGCACCCCCTATGTATCCTCCTACATATGAAGAAAGCACTTCACACCAACACAGGTAAATGCTATGTACTTGAAAAGTTTAACGACTGTTTAAATATCTCGATCTTTGGATTTTATTTTAGTAAAGTGAAGTCAAAAACGGTTGCTTTCCGGCAAAGATCAGGACAAAACCAATATTAGTGAATTCAGCTGTACTCTTCTCATTTATCGTATCGATAACTTCCCAAACTTATACCCTTCAACGGAAAAAGGTGTGATGTTTTATTTTTATTCAGAGGAAATGTAATGGTTTCTTGTTGAATACCATAAATTATTTTTATGAAAAGTTCTTTTTACACGACCAATATGAGTTTCTTTGTGACGTTTCGATGACTAGTACGGTATGTACACTGTCACCGAAAGAACTTTTCATAATCCATACTTTCAAACCTGAAGAAAATGTTTAGGAATAACATACATATTTATTGAGTATCACACGTGTGGAAAATAAATGTCTAATCTGCCATACAAGTGTAACGTTGTTGTATTCTACGGGGACACTATTATATTTTCTATGTATTCAATTCTTAAGCATTTTGACTGCAGATAAAGTACGGGGATTAGTAGTGTCATCTTTGGTGTTTTATCTTATTTAACCTAACGCTTGACAAGAAGGCTGCACGGAATTATGAATGGGCTACTGAACACATTAAAGCAATTTTTTTTTCTTGCAAGATTTGCTGACAGAATTGTTATTTATACATATAAGCTACTTATTCAATCGTCACTCATCTGCATGTGAATTACAATCGTCACCTATGAATGTAGTAAATAGAAAGTACTGTTATGGCCGGTCAGTATAAAGTTACCGTCTTTAACCTACATTACATTGACAGAATTGTTGGATATGCTATCAATTTATAATAAATATGTTAAAACGAAACTGCAATTCAATTGTACCTGTCATACACAGTCAAGGTCCACTTAACTTAAAAAAAACTTTAAATTAGAAATGATTTGAATCGAAACTGACACATCTCTCCTTTTGAAAATGTTATCGGTCACAGTGTTATTTTTCAAACGTAATTAAATCGATGAAGTCCTTTTCGATTAATGTCAATTCGTATTTGAATCAAATTAGCTGCTGCAGAAAATGAATATAAACGACTTATCATAGTAGACAAAGAAGTTAAATGAAGGTGCTGGACACACTTGAAACTTAGGAAAAGGCCATGTTACGTGACGTTGATCGCTTGTGTTAATACTTTGGTGGCGATATTAAGTAACATTGGATGACTACTCAACTGGTCTACATTTTGACATAGAAATGATCTTTCATTGCCCGTTTCCGTGGACACTGACTTTATCGATGAGCTTCTGTTTTCCAGAACCCACCAGAAATTGTTTACTCTCTTTTGTACGAAGAATATACATTAGTTGCAGATTCATTTTAAATTATTATAGAAACCATATTTTTGCTGAGGACTTTGTAGAGGATATCAATGGTCTCCGGGTTCTGCAGAATGAGGCGAGAAGACACAGGTTTTACCATCTCTATAGTGCCGTAGAGTCACGCATCAACGAGCTGGAAGGGCCGCCCCAGTATATAGAACTATACTAAAGTGCAATATGAAAATACATGTACAAATATGTGACATAGACCATATTATGCTAGTATTAGTTTAAATTGTTAATAAAATATCAGACAAAGGCCTCTGCTTCATTTTGTTACCACATTGAGTTGTCATGGCAACATCCCGCTAGCATAACATGTTAATAAATACTTTTGTGATTGGCGGGATATATGTTCTCAAACCTATTTACTGGCGTTTAATCGTACATTTCCACATTTTCACGTGTTGAAATTATTGCATCAGATATATAGTTTATAATGTGTCAATGTGTTCACTTGTACATTTTTTGGCACTGATTTAGTAATTGCAAAATAAACGAAATTATGAAAAGCTCAAAACATTCCACTGTTTTAACTAGATAATGTATTTCTCCATTCTCCGGATGCTGTCGTCAATGTCTGAATATAGTTCTAGTGATGGACGCCTTCACATAACCCTTCGTATGTGTTGCTAAATTATTCATGATAAATTTGTTTTTATCACTCATACTATTTCCTTAAGAGATTTGCTTGTTTTAACTATCACCAGAGCTGTTTGAATCCAATTTTCTTAAATAATGTCATTTTGATTGCCAAACTATTATTTTCTCTATGCAGGGGTGCTGCTCCCGCCTTCCAGTCCTACCCAACCAAACAGTGAGGAAACTGTGTGTACTAATAATCATTCGTGTTCTTATGTACTCCAATACAGAAAATGAACAAAACCTTCGTCATATGATTTATCCTATATCCCTTGTTACGGAGTAAATATACCCATGTTATATGTAATTGTCATGTACTACCGGTTTAAAATGACATCAGTGATATGTATTTGTGTCGTAACCTGTAGGTCTATTATGACATCCACACCAAAATTGTGTCTTTGAAGTCGTTTGGTATCACAGAAGTCGTTTGTAGACAAAATTCAATCTTGTGTATGTGATAAAAGGATTTAAGTTCATTTTCATTTCATGTATATGTCATGAAACTTGTCCTGAAATTTTCATATCAACTCTGCCAAATCTGTCAAAAATGCACATTTCTATACATTTCATTGGACGTGAATAAGACGCAATGGATATCCAAAATGTCTTAAATAACGGTTACAGACAATGTTAAGAAATACTTTGAAGATGACACGGATGTAAAATTAAGTAAGATAAGATGCCTTATTATGGTTATACATACGATAAGACAGAAAAGTGGTCTTTTTGTCAGTTTACCGGATCTTACAATGAATTCACAATCAATCACAAATATCAGCCATGTTACTGACATCCAACATTGCAATATCGCCAGTGTAAAAGATGGTCAACAACGGACTTCATCGTTACAGGCCTTCAGCAGTATATACTCATTTGAATGGATGATCAATCATAATTTTTTGTTGTTACGGATGTCATGAGTTGTGTCTAATTGTATCCAATACGGGTGTTATGAGTTGTGTCTAAATGTATACAAAGATGAATTAGACTGAATGTCATCGGCATATAATAAAAGTGTGCAGCGACAATAATTCTGTCAAAAAAAACGTTGAACATTTGTTAGTACCCATGTACTGCTGGTGTGGTGAATTTTGTATGCTCATTAACCTTATCACTAGGATACCTATCATGTATGTTCTGGAGAGAAAATTACATAACGCTTCTTTTTTGAGGTGGAGATGTTTATTTTGAATTAACTGCTTGAATGATAAGCACTCTATAGTCAAACACATTTGACAGTTTTGATATACATGTAATCATTGTAATTTAACAAATTAATTCATCCCTGACAACGTTTAAGGTTAAATTGGTTTCGTGTCAATCATTAACATGGCCATTTTAAAAGTCAAAAACAATGTCACCGTGTATAGCTCATACAGAAGATACATATACATGGTATTCTAATTCAACAGCAGAAATGTTTGTCAACAGAGAAACGTTTTATTTCAATATCACAACGAAAGTGTTTTGTGAATACCTTTAAATTGATTATGTCTGTTCACGAACATTGCCCAGTATGTAGAAATAATTATGAATAATGTTAATTTATACTGTTATCATGTAGAATGTTTGAGGTATATTTGTCATATGTGTACTATAAGTATTACACAAAGAAACGAAAAAAAGACATGTTTGCAAATTATTCTGTTATGAAATCACTGGCAATAATATGTAAAGAATCCTTGTCCCAGTCTACCGGTGTCCTCTTTACAGTAGCCTCCCCTCTAACTTCCGTTTGGCTGTAACTGATACAGGAGAGCCATGACTCTTTGGTTGACCAGGTAGCTCAATCGATTAGATAGTATAACAATCTAAAGTCCACGGTTTGAGCCCGGTGTAGCCCCGCTGATTTTTTACACTTAAAACACTGCTTATACATTTTTATTTCATTTTATTTCTCATAAAAGACCTTATGGTAGGGCCTTTTTTCAGAAATGATTTATCAAAGCTATAGTCATGCAAGAAACAACAGTATCCAACACTTAGTCACAGTTTTGTGCAGTGGTAAGGGGATCATTCATTGTGTGGTGAAGTCACCGTTAAAACGATATTCAATACTCAGCAAAGTGTTTAGGTGAGAAGAGCTGGCCTTATTTTTGTTTATTTGTATCTTTTTTACATATTCATTTAACATAATAAAAAAAACCGAGGTACACGTGGTAGAGAGAGCGAGAGAGAGAGAAAGAGAGAGAGAGCGAGAGGGAGAGGGGGGAGGGAGAGAGAGANGAGAGAGAGAGAGAGAGAGAGAGAGAGAGAGAGAGAGAGAGAGAGAGGGGCGAGGGAGAGAGAGAGCACATACGGCATGTTATATAGTGGTGTATACTATTTATCTATATCCATCGGCCTGAGGATCCTCGGTCTAATATGGCATGTGATATATACGGCATAAAGATGACTTTATACTGGATTTTTACATTATTTACTTGCATTTCAGATGAGTAGATATGAATATCGTTAATATCTTTGTGTTATCCTATGTTACCAGATATCTGTGGTCTGTACTGCATTAATTTTTCGAAAAAGCATAGTTTACATTCGCAAACAACAGTATAAAAACCTAGCTCACGTAAGCTTTAGATTACACTAACATTATTTACTAATATTTAAATAGGAAATCCACATTGATGTTTTACAAATAGTTTACATCATATACTGGTTATACAAAAGAAAACAGTAGCCAGCTATATGGAAATCGATAAAATACTTGAATGGATAGTTCACACGTTAATTTCCTGATTGTTTTTCTACTTTTTATATTTTTCCACTTTTGTATCTGTCATAAACATACTAATTGTTGTTATTTTCACTATATCTTTTCTCCTTTTACAATACTATTTGGATCACATCTCAAATGTATTTGTTTACCAAACACATATTTGAGAATTTATTTACATGTATGAGAATTACCATTAAATTTATATAAAATGGATATTGATTGTTGATTTATGTTTTGTGTCTCATCCTTAATGGAACTAATATTGACGGGGTTTATTTTCCTATCGCACCAGTTGTATCACATCGGGGCATAGACTTGACAACGCTGTTAAGTAGACAATTTTTGTATTTTATTCACGTGGCAAATTCAGAACTCAACTGAGTTTATATTCCCTAATGTATATAGTATGTTAATATTGCACGGTACAAAGAATTAAGGAAATGCAATGAACCGAGACAGCTGAAATAATGTTAGCACACATTTATCGACCTTCAATAATACACAATTCCAGAACAGTGCGTTTTCCCATACAGGCATATCTGGTCCACAATTGTAGAAAAATTCTTTTCATATAACATTTTATTCATATATAAATATATCTAATATCGATTTGATCGATGTACATAGCCCAGTTGAACGGGTTTGTATTGGTTAAACGTACAGTATATGGATACGTAGATATGACAATGCTTTATTTGTTAGCATATCTACCGACAACTATTACAGTGGTTTCCACACTCCAGTGTATTTTTCCTATGACCTAATTAAATTGACCATAAGACGTTTCATGATTGGTCACAATCAAGTCATTGATATATTTTTAAACCATAGGCAGAATCTCAATGCAGTATCTGCTGACGCTACCTGAGCTTGGATTATGTTGAAGTTGAGCACTGTTCACTGTAGTGTATTACTATCCAGCGAAACGACAACCGGGTATTCACAAACTTTTATTTGAAAAAGTTAGAGTGCATGAATTAGAAATTAAATATGATTTGAAAGGAATATAGTATACGCCTATGCAAAATTACTATAACGCCACCTGTAATGGCAACATTGTCTTTGAAATGCGCACAATGAGCACAACTGTTGACTATCGATCCAATGTTAAGGTAACTACCCTGTTTACAGTGCTATGGTCTTCTATGTACGTGTTGTATAGTGTATGGTACATGTGGATGTTCTGTCCTTGTGCGCTGACACAGTGGTTTATTTGTGCCTGTGTCTGTGGGTGACGCTGTGGTTTATTTGTGCTTGTGTCTGTGGGTGACGCTGTGGTTTATTTGTGCTTGTGTCTGTGGGTGACGCTGTGGTTTATTTGTGCTTGTGTCTGTGGGTGACGCTGTGGTTTATTTGTGCTTGTGTCTGTGGGTGACGCTGTGGTTTGTCTAACCATTGTGCTTTGAAACTGCGTTATATCATGTCATTGTGTGTGTTCACGATCTGGTATGGTTTTCCATGTTTGTTTTCGTGTCCCGTCCCGTCCTGTACCCGATACAGTCTTTATTGATTTTGCTCATACTTTATACCAAAGTCGAGAATGAGAATACCTCAACTATGTCTGTTAGGGTTCTAAGGTCAAGGCAAAGGTCACCGTAAATATTTATAGATATATGTCAAACAATGACACCAATACACACGGGAGCGGCGCATTCATATCTTACATACATTTTACAGTTTTCTTTCTGTTTATCCCAATGTCATATACAGGGCAACTATAATGTTATCTTAAATAATCTATATAATACAAATTATCTTACATAATCTATATAATACAAATTATCTTACAAAATAGTAAACGGAGAAAGTCATCTCACTTTATCTCTTTATATCACAAAACATGCAGGCAGTTTAATTTCTCACAATTATATTTTTTTCATTTGATGTGTCTCCAAATTTGCCGAAGTCCTTCCATTGAATCTGTCTCTTGACTGAACATATCAAAATGCGTATACATGACTAATTGTACAACGTCAATCGTGCGTCCCTCATCGACTAGTTTCATTATCCTTCTTATAATCGGGTTTCTGCCAAATATGGCACAAAGACTAAGGAACCAAATGGTGAAGGGAGAACAGTTTATCCTGTCTAGGGGCTGAGTTTCGGGCACAGTATTGGGAAATAGGGGCATGTTTTAATGAAAGTTATAGGACGCACGAAACCAAGCTAAATCCTATTCTTAGCAGTAGCGATCTAGACCTCGAACGGATTACGCCAAAACTCAATGGAGTTTACAAATCAAGTAGGGTTATCAACACACCAAATGTGGTAAGAAATAATGCAACTAAGCGTTATTCTCTTTTAGCAATGTTGGCCATAACCTCTGGTGGACCACGACAAACATTAATAGGGTGATTTGCATCCTATAGGGCAATCCTCACTCCAATTTTGAGCTCTTTAGTTATCAAGTCATCATCCAGTCAAGCGCTACAGACAGATTGACGGGGGATATTTCTACTGCATTATGAGCAAAAGGATTTTCATCATTTTTTGTTGGAGCATCACTGGACAAAGGGCCTCAATTTTGTGTAAATGATAGATGATAAACGAAAGACAAGTTCAGTATTTGTAAACCTTTGTTAACCAAATTGTATAAAGCTGTATGCTTCTTCTTGTACTGTTTCAAGGGTCTCCATGTAAATCACGTTATTCTCTTAATGTTTCTTCTTTCTACACAATACACTATTGAGAACAATTATCCTGATATCTTACCGCACTATAAGCACAAATAATACATTTTCAGGTTTTGACTTCTGATAATATTACATCCTCGCTTTCGCAAAGAGGTGAGTACTCCAACATACCGCCTCCACCATACCAGCGTGCATTACAGTAATGGAGGCACGTAATGCCCATAGCTGTTAACAGGATGCTTATCCCTATGAACTTAATCCAAATCCATGAAAAACAACGCTACCGAAACAGTGTCCTGATTTCGTCTCTGCATCGAGGTTAACTTTGTAAATACTTGAGCTATTTGTTCAATGAAGGTATATCAAACCTATACAACACTACAAACGTGAAAGTCGACCAATTCAGATACTTGCTTCCGTAAATTAACCTCTTTTTTATTTCTTCCCAAAATATATACATGTATATCTTAACATTAACAATAACAAACACATTAATCAATAACAAATAAATACCAATAACAAACAGTGACGCACTGTAATTGTGTCACATCAAGAAACATTCTACGCCATTTCCTGCCCATTTCTTGTCGAATTCTGCAACTTCTTCGAGATAGGAACTGGGAGGCCATTGTCTTTTCTTCACTATGTCTAAGTTATCTCCCTTGAGCTGATCGAATTCAGGCTTGCGTTTGAATGCTGTATAATTACTGGAGATGAAGTGCAAGCACCATGCGGTCAATTGGTTGGCGTTGTACATCTGTAAATATTCAACATGTTTATACATATTCATATCGTCACAACTCTAAAATGCAATCATGTCCATATCTTAACTGATCATTTCTTTAGAAGAGATATTTCAGAGTGCAAATGATAAAGTTGGTACATGAAGAAAGTCCCGACACAACTTTGTTTAGAGTCCCATTGGTTAATAGCGTCTTATCGTATCTTTCATGTGTGACTGTTAAAAGGGTTCTTCTAAATCATAGATATTATCAAAACATCTCTATCGTAGCCGGTAAAATGATGTTGATATTTAACAGGAAACATGTAACCTCCATACGTGAACAAATGTACCCCACCCACGAACAATTAGCAGGTATTCCTCTGTACAATATATCATGTCATTGCCCCAGTCTGGTAAGTCACTTCTACAATTTTACAGTATATCACATACCTGTGATGTTAAAATTAATCCTATGACGTCAATCTCAGCCTGTTCTATTCGTTTGGTTACGCTTCTATCGACTTCTTTCGTAACGTATAGTTCACAGATATTCATGAGCCCTTTCTGATCGTATAAATCCGCGAGAACAATGAGTCCCATGACGTCGACCTCCTGTATGGGTGAGTGATCGGTGTACAGGTACTCCAGTAGGGCCAGAAAACACTCCACGGATGTTGCAGGAATATCCACCTGTAAGGGGGAAATATACCTGATCAGCTTTTATCACTTCTAGGATGATATGATAAAACATATATTACACCAGACAGACATGTTCGCAATCCAAATCCCATAGTTTCTTGCTAATGGAAAGAAGCACAGGAAACAGGGGAAGATATTGAAATAGCACAAAGTAGACTCTGATGTCATGCATTTCCACTTGACGCGATTCGATAATATGATTCCCATCAACAATGACAACCGCAGATTCGAAATATTAAAAAATGGTACCATATTATTTGTAAACCAGTGATTATCATATTACATAACGCTTTAAGGCTATAGACGTTCGAACTTGTAACTGCCTCCTTTCCTTCCCGAAACTGACCCCCGAACATAGTCGCCATGGCTCGACATCGTGCACATAAGACGACTTTGTTGGCATAAATCGTCTGACCTGGTATATAATCAAAACATGATTTATTTGAAGCTCCATGTTATATTATATACCATACAAAACAATAGCAGTGTGAGAAAACGACACACTGTCGAAACAATAATGTGTTACAATCATAATGTGTAACTCTGTGTTCAGGATAAGTAAAAGTATGAAAGAGTATTAATAATTTACAATCGAGCAGTATGAGTCAATGCTAATTTTACTGATGATGGGGTATATTTTGGCTAGTAATTTGTTATAGCTCTTTAGTTACTAATTTATTAATATTTTATTAATATTTTATGCTTTCCAAGCATGTGAAAAGTCCATGTGACAAAAAACCCGTCTGTTACCTTGAACTTGCTGTACTGTATCCGTTAGTTATGTACGTACCCGTGTATAGAAATGCCAGCACTTGAGTAAACGTTGTATATGTAATATCAGAAGCCAGCTTTATAACTGTGTGGCGCCGACGTTGACCTTTGGCACAGATGATCGTCCCTTTTCCATATACAGCAGATATCCTCCATTGAGAATGGTTCCAAGCGACCGAATTTTTTCTTTTGGTCATTCTGGAACGGAGTCAAACAGAATTTTAGTTTACATTTGTACACCATTCAACACTTTCCGCGGTATTTTACAGTTATTACTGTGCTTGCGAACATATTAGTTTTCTTTAAAATATGCGAGAGGTAAATTGATTTACAATTCGTTAAATGCATTTCATAAGTTAATCAGTTAAAAAAACCTTGCAAATATCAATTACTATAAAGTAAAAGTATTGAAAGAGAGCTCAAGAAGTTCTTTGTGAACTTTTAAAATTGTATATCCCCGAAAGATGTATCGTTTTTGTCGTATTTTCTAACCATTGAGTTATCTGAGGTTTAGATGTAGCCAAATGGCTCATCTTTATTTGGGTTGCATTTTTGAATTTCGTATTTTGAATTCTTCAATATATTTGCAAGAGAATGCGAACCATTTTGGCACCGATGATATCACCAAATGCAAGTTCTAGATGTGTTACAACACCTACAATAATATGAATTAGTGAACACGCTAAAACTAAATATCCACTATAATGTGGATGAACACAAAAATACCAGTTTTACTTTCGTTTGGAGTACCTGATCATAGCGCGTCATCCCGAAGACCCGACAGAAGAACGACGAGGACGAACACAGTACAAGTGTATTAGCCTCTAGCCGCTGACCTCCGCCGAGTATAAATGTCACATCATAATTTCGGGGTTTCTCCAGCATCCCACGCCAGTCGTCAGCGAACCGGGAAGCTTCTACCTCAACCCGAGGGGCCTTTTCTGTAATACAACGATCACCATAGTAAAGGACAATATGTATATTAGGTTCTCCAATTACACAGATTTAGGAGCACGCGATAGCGTGTGACCTAGTTATTGTTTTATTTAGTAAGACGTGCTCAGTGATACACCAGTCTTACCGGCTAACAAGACGTGTTCAGTGATACACCAGGCTCACCAGCTAACAAGACGTGCTCAGTGATACACCAGGCTCACCAGCTAACAAGATGTGATCAGTGATACACCTAGGCCTATCAGCTAACAAGACGTGCTCTGTGATACACCAGACACACCAGCTAAAAAGACGTGCTCAGTGATACACCAGTCTCGCCGGCTAACAAGACGTGCTCAGTGATACATCAGGCTCACCGGCTAACAAGACGTGCTCAGTGACACACCAGTATCACCAGCTAACAAGTCGTGCTAAGTAAGACACCAGGCTGACCAGCTAACAAGACGTGCTCAGTGATACACCAGGCTCACCAGCTAACAAGACGTCCTCAGTGATACACCAGTCCCACAGGCTAACAAGACGTGCTGAGTGATACACCAGGCTCATCAGTTATAACACGTGCTCAGTTATACACCAGTCCCACCGGCTAACAAGACGTGCTCAGTGATACACCAGACTCACCAATTAACAAGACATGCTCAGTGATATACCAGTCCCACCGGCTAACAAGATGTGCTCAGTGATACACCAGGCTCACCAGCTAACAAGACATGCTCTGTGATACACCAGACTCACCAGCTAACAAGACGTGCTCAGTGATACACCAGTCTCACCGGCTAACAAGACGTGCTCAGTGATACACCAGGTTCATTAGTTAACAAGACGTGCTCAGTGATACACCAGGCTCACCAGCTAACAAGACGTGCTCTGTGATACACCTGTCTCACCGGCTAACAAGACGTGCTCAGTGATACACCAGGTTCATCAGTTAACAAGACGTGTTCAGTGATACACCAGGCCCATCAGCTAACAAGACGTGCTCTGTGATACACCAGACTCACCAGCTAACAAGACGTGCTCAGTGATACACCAGACTCACCAGCTAACAAGACGTGCTCAGTGATACACCAGGCTCACCAGCTAACAAGACGTGCTCTGTGATACACCAGACTCACCAGCTAACAAGACGTGCTCAGTGATACACCAGGCTCATCAGCTAACAAGACGTGCTCTGTGATACACCAGACTCACCAGCTAACAAGACGTGCTCAGTGATACACCAGGCTCATCAGCTAACAAGACGTGCTCTGTGATACACCAGACTCACCAGCTAACAAGACGTGCTCAGTGATACACCAGGCTCATCAGCTAACAAGACGTGCTCTGTGATACACCAGACTCACCAGCTAACAAGACGTGCTCAGTGATACACCAGGCTCATCAGCTAACAAGACGTGCTCTGTGATACACCAGACTCACCAGCTAACAAGACGTGCTCAGTGATACACCAGGCTCATCAGCTAACAAGACGTGCTCTGTGATACACCAGACTCACCAGCTAACAAGACGTGCTCAGTGATACACCAGGCTCATCAGCTAACAAGACGTGCTCTGTGATACACCAGACTCACCAGCTAACAAGACGTGCTCAGTGATACACCAGGCTCATCAGCTAACAAGACGTGCTCTGTGATACACCAGACTCACCAGCTAACAAGACGTGCTCAGTGATACACCAGGCTCACCAGCTAACAAGACGTGCTCTGTGATACACCAGACTCACCAGCTAACAAGACGTGCTCAGTGATACACCAGGCTCATCAGCTAACAAGACGTGCTCTGTGATACACCAGACTCACCAGCTAACAAGACGTGCTCAGTGATACACCAGGCTCATCAGCTAACAAGACGTGCTCTGTGATACACCAGACTCACCAGCTAACAAGACGTGCTCAGTGATACACCAGGCTCACCAGCTAACAAGACGTGCTCTGTGATACACCAGACTCACCAGCTAACAAGACGTGCTCAGTGATACACCAGGCTCATCAGCTAACAAGACGTGCTCTGTGATACACCAGACTCACCAGCTAACAAGACGTGCTCAGTGATACACCAGGCTCACCAGCTAACAAGACGTGCTCTGTGATACACCAGACTCACCAGCTAACAAGACGTGCTCAGTGATACACCAGGCTCATCAGCTAACAAGACGTGCTCTGTGATACACCAGACTCACCAGCTAACAAGACGTGCTCAGTGATACACCAGGCTCACCAGCTAACAAGACGTGCTCTGTGATACACCAGACTCACCAGCTAACAAGACGTGCTCAGTGATACACCAGGCTCATCAGCTAACAAGACGTGCTCTGTGATACACCAGACTCACCAGCTAACAAGACGTGCTCAGTGATACACCAGGCTCATCAGCTAACAAGACGTGCTCTGTGATACACCAGACTCACCAGCTAACAAGACGTGCTCAGTGATACACCAGGCTCATCAGCTAACAAGACGTGCTCTGTGATACACCAGACTCACCAGCTAACAAGACGTGCTCAGTGATACACCAGGCTCATCAGCTAACAAGACGTGCTCTGTGATACACCAGACTCACCAGCTAACAAGACGTGCTCAGTGATACACCAGGCTCATCAGCTAACAAGACGTGCTCTGTGATACACCAGACTCACCAGCTAACAAGACGTGCTCAGTGATACACCAGGCTCACCGGCTAACAAGACGTGCTCAGTGATACACCAGTCTCACCGGCTAACAAGACGTGCTCAGTGATACACCAGGCTCACCGGCCAACAAGACGTGCTCTGTGATACACCAGTCTCACCGGCTAACAAGACGTGCTCAGTGATACACCAGGTTAATTAGTTAACAAGACGTGCTCAGTGATACACCAGACTCACCAGTTAACAAGACGTGCTCAGTGATACACCAGACTCACCAGCTAACAAGACGTGCTCAGTGATACACCAGGATCACCAGCTAAAAAGACGTGTTCAATGATACACTAGGCTCACCGGCTAACAAGACGTGCTCAGTGATACACCAGGCTCACCGGCCAACAAGACGTGCTCAGTGATACACCAGGCTCACCAATTAACAAGACATGCTCAGTGATACACCAGTCCCACCGGCTTACAAGACGTGATCAGTGATACACCTTGCTCACCAGCTAACAAGACTTGCTCAGTGATACACCAGGCTCATCAGTTAACAAGACGTGCTCAGTGATACACCAGTCCCACCGGCTACAGGACATGCTTAGTGATACACCAGTCTCACCGGCTAACAAGACGTGCTCAGTGATACACCAGTCCCACCGGCTAACAAGACGTACTCAGTGATACACCAGGCTCACCAGCTAACAAGATGTGCTCTGTGATACACCAGGCTCACCAGCTAACAAGACGTTCTCAGTGATACACCAGGCTCATCAGATAACAAAACGTGTTCAGTGATCACCAGACTCACCAGTTAACAAGACGTGATCAGTGATACACAAGGCTCACCAATTAACAAGATGTGCTCAGTGATACACAAGGCTTACCAGCTAACAAGACGTGCTCAGTGATACACCAGGCTCACCAGCTAACAAGACGTGCTCAGTGATACACCAGGCTCATCAGTTAACAAGACGTGCTCAGTGATACACCAGACTCACCAGTTAACAAGACGTGCTCAGTGATACACCAGGCTTACCAGTTAACAAGACGTGATCAGTGATACATTAGGCTAGCCGGCTAACACGACTTGCTCAGTGATACAGAAGGCTCATCGGCTAACAAGATGTGCTCAGTGAGACACCATGCTCACGAGCTAACACAACGTGCGCAGTGATACACAAGGCTCACCGGCTAACTAGACGTGCGCAGTGATACACCAGGCACACCGGCTAACACGACGTGCTCGGTGGGACAAGATCGGACAGCAGAATAAAGGACGTATGGAGGTCCCTAATAAGGTATTTTAATAATGGTAATATATCAATGTTGCTCTTTTCAGTGGCCCCAATAAGAAAGCGCAGAAGAAACACTTAGGCTTTACAGAGGTTCCACATCATTTAAGCGATCATAGAATGAGTCCGAACTCATGTTGAAACGACATAAGTTATCCGGACGTGCCGGAAGTGACATTATACCTGCTGGTGGCAGTGTGGGTGGGTTAGGAATCTCTTTCTTCGGTCTCCTAAAAAATGTAATCGGTCTTTCTTCCTCCGGCGTGCTACAATCCCTTGATTGGCTTCTATGATCTGGAGGGGAAACGAATATAACTAAAATTGTGTTTTTTTCAATTGCGATGTCATACAGATATTATGCATCTTAATATGGCCAATAATTAAACCATGATTAATTTAAACAATCAAAAATAATTGTTATTTTCTTGTTTTTTTTCCTTTTGGATAAATGCTAACTTATAATAATAACATACCGCTCTATTAAAGCATGCCGTAAGTCCGTCTCGAGTCAAAGCACTGGTTTCTTGGTACCGTAGTCCCAATCTTGGGCGACCTTTGACCCCTAAGCATACGTCACATAATCCCCAGTGCTTGTATATCGCAGGTCTGTACAAATAGTAAAAGTGAAAATATGTTTATATCGTTACCGGAAAAATCAAGTTTAAACAAAATGGGAGAATCTGTGGAGGAAGGAACTGATATAACTCGTTTATATAAATGATGTATTAAGCACAGTCCCATAACAACGGTCTGTCTCTGGTTGGACCTCTCAAATGCCACGTTATAGGGCTCTCTCATCGAAGTATCACATCACATGCGCAGGTGTGATGGTCGTAGTATTGAGAGAGGTTGATACAACACGCCTTTTCTTAATCACAGTTACTTAACATGAGCTACCTCCCTTTGACCATTAGCAACTACAGCCTCTCCGTACTCCTTATAAACAACACAGGAGTATGATACATCATCCAATCAAACAGAGGTGTCTAGGGAGACAACAGATTAGGCAATGGTTCCTAAGGAAACAACATATTTACCAGTTATGTCTTAACAAATGATTATAACCATGTGTGCAATGTATGAATTGGTCTTTATGGTAAACCCACGGGAGCCTCCAAAATATTAGTCTCCTACTACGATCTTACACCAGGTTAACTGCTGTCCCCTAATCTGCATAGGTGTTTGTTGTTAATTAGCTATCAATACTATAACAAACTAACCTGTTTTACACGCCACAAGCATTTTAGGCACATTTGGGATGTGGTGTTGAAGTTTTGGGATCCACTTTTATGTGATGTTCTCAAAGGAGTCCCTGTTGTCCACGGCGAAGCAGATGCAAATGACGTCACTACCCGGGTAGGACATGTAGAAAAGAAAAGGCGATGTAACATTGTCAGAGAGATACTTGTAGTATATACGTATCTGCTTATTATAATGAATATTTTTACATCCTTTAGGATAAATTGTACCGTACAACGAAGTGCATTTTTGCTACAAAAGCGTTTTGCATTAAACTGTAACATATCTTCATGCTTGTTTTGTTTACGATCAGGTTATTTTTACGCTGAACAAAGGGAGATAACTCTAACGAATACGGTACATGTAGCATACAATCTAAATATAAAACACAGTTTTATTCTTGTATGAATATGTTTGACTTTTCTCTTATGAATTATATTTATTTGTACAGTAAACTAGAACACGAATATAGGATATCAGAATGCTTATACTCCGAAAACAATTTGTAACAGCGATAAGCACGGCAACTGAAAATCGTGAACCTTATTTCATGCGATAGCCAATGCTAATTCAACAATCAAAGTAACAACTTCAAACCATCCTTTTTGTGAGCATAGTTAAGATATGCGTTTTACAATTTCCTTAAATGGTTTGACAAACTAAACACAGCGCAACTTGCACCTGAAATAGTATCAGCATAATATGCCTCTTATTATCAGTACACAATTGGCCTTACCTGACTGGCGGTATCCCACAAGGCAATCTCGTAGTCATTCCCGTTCAGTCGGAGCTCACTGACCCAACTTCCAAACACGGTCGGGACATACTAGTGCGGAAATTTCCCAGAAGCGCTTGCAAAAAGCAGACAACTTTTGCCAATCCCTCCATCTCCAACAACGATGAGTTTGGTGTGAGCCACCATGGTCAAAATGATCTTGATATTATAAGTAATACAAAAAACATCTCTATTAGTCGAATTCAGCTGACTAATGTCGTCAAAGTTGGGTAATATTTCTCTATAAATATGTCTGGTATTGATAAAACTGCCATCAACACTACTAAAACACTGCTATACCTCTACTGAAACACTGCTACACCTCTACTGAAACACTGCTACACCACTACTCAAACACTGCTACACCTCTACTAAAACACTGCTACACCTCTACTGAAACATTGCTACACCTCTACTAAAACACTGCTCAACTCTACCGAAACACTTGACGTACGCTGTTTACGTGTTGAAGATATGGCAACTGTCTGTATGATGGCAACATCGAAGTGTAGCTTTACGATTTCAATAAAGTGGCAGAGTAGCAATAAGAACAAAAATATCTGAGAACTAAGCTTTCGTGCAATAATAAGTTAAACTGAGTGTCTGAGTAAAACCGAAAATTCTATAGCAAAATTAAAACACATTACAAAAGATTTCTTATAGTTATCATCAAATATACATATTTTAGGTAGAGATTCGTAATATTTGTCACTTTATCGTCCTTAAATAGAGAACTAGAAACGCTTTAACTCAAGAATCGTTCTTTGCCCTTACTCTCCATGTATCTTTATCTGAACTGCGTGTATCACTTTATAGCTCTCCTCATTATCCAAGTTCTCTTCTTCAATCCATTTTGAAAGTTTACAAATGAAGCTTTCCACGGTAATACTAATTAAAAGCGGATAGTCTATTTGGTACAGAAAGCAAAAATTAGTAAACTGAATGTTAACATATAGCTCAAGTTTCCTCTGGCCCTAACACCAGACTTAGACATCTATGTCTGGTGTGGTCTGGTGTCAGGGCCAGAGAAAACTCGGGCTAGTAAACATATTCACTTCTACAGTAGTTCGGTGTTGTTGTCTTGATGACAATTTAACACCATACAGGAGATATCCTTATAGAAATAAAGTAGATAAAAAACAACAGTTTAACCATAGTATAGACATAAGATATGACTGTAAGGAAAGTAATATTAGGTACAATACTACCACTTACATGATATATAGTGTAAAAGTCTCACACAGGGAGGCCTACCGTATTGGAGTGTTCGTGATGTGTATACCTCTTTTTCTACTAATCAAACTCTATAAATACCTGACGTTATTTCTACTATTTTTACCGACCAATGAAAATGATTGATTACGCTTGACTATATTTAGCACTATCGTCTTTTCTAACAGATGGTATAAGGGAGGTAATCGTTACAGGAAAAACATCTTCATCTTAACGGTATACCTAGTAACTGATCGATTCCTCATTTTGTAACATTTCTTTTTCTTTAACCATTGATTTTGAACAGCTAGCGTTCAGAAGAAAAAGTCAGAGATAAATCTGAAAAGGCTATAAAAAAATAAGGCTTAACGGTTACAAGTTGGTGGTCAGAATTGAGTAGGTTTCAACATGATGGTGCAAAGTTCAATTTAAAAATGTCACATTGCAAAATGTATTAAACAAAGTGTTATAGAACAGTCAACCATTGTTTTCTTTGTGTTTATTTATTAAAAGCGTATTCACTTTCCCACTCACAATATAGATTTTCGACAATTGTCAATATAAATACACACTTGGAATATAGAGAGAAATAAACATGTCCCCATTATCCCAGTACATATGTATTTTTACGAAATGAGTTTCATCGAGTTTTAGTTCAATTTCTTTTCATCATTAGATACTTTTTCAAATATAAATGACTTGTGTACTTATATCAACCGTGACATCAAAAAGAACAATGATATGGCGTCATTAATTCAACAGGAATATCCCTGATTTGTTTGATTGTTTTATGAAAAATGTGTTATTTGATAAAGTACATGAAGTCATATATATGATAAAAATGATCTCAATTTTTGTAACCACCCATCTGGCATTTGTGAAATAATATGAGATCCTTTATCAAAAATCAGATGGAATGGGTAGATTTGATAAAACAAAAATGGCTTACATGTCATCATATGATATATTGAGGACATGAGGATAATTTCACCATGGCTGGTATAACGATCGAATAACAATTATACAGGAGTTCTCGGTCATCTGAGTTGTAACGTTGTATTCGAATAGGCAAAGTAGCCCCACATGAATCAAGGGATATTCCTAGGAGTGGGACAACAACAAATCTGAAGGGATACCGTAGAGCAGGATATTTCCGCGGGGATGATATTTTCGCGATTTCGCGGTTCAATAACATGATCGCGACAATATGATCCGCAGTATAATAAGACAAGCGTAAAATGAGGCGCGATGATAAACTTCAAAACCGTAATGACGTCATGAAATAGCGCGCATGTGGTTGTTACGATAACGTAATAACGTTTGAAAAAAGGTTATATCATACATCGAACAGTTTTGTTGATAGTTTCTTAAACAAAATACACTTACTTATTATTGCTCAATATGCTACCATAAAGTATATACGATAGCTATTTTACGATTAGAACAATAAAGTTATCACGTTTAGATTCTTGTTACCCTTCTCTCTGTAAAGATACACAGCTTCAATTAAACAAAACATTATTTCTTTGTTCTAGTTATTATAAGTAATAAAAATAGTTGAAATTAAGTTGACTTTAGGACTGTAAATAATGTTAACATGTATTGTAGGTTTAACAGATTTGACCACGTGACCTTACATAAATTGAATCAATGTCCAGATGATATATTTGAACAACTTTTATGTCGTGATCATAAACATGATTCTTTAAGAGACAATCTTCTCAGATATTAACAGGATATTTATACAGGGGATATAATATAACAGATTCGATGACCACAGGCCTTCTAGAACAAAGTCATCTACATAGTTTGAACGTATTGGCCTTGTGAGTTTGAATGAAGATCAAGGTAATTTACCTTAAGATATTTGATAGCCCTCTATATCAGCTACATACTGGTCATAAATCATGATTCTAGATATTCTAGAACTTCGGATGAAGTCGTTTAAAGATAACAACATAGTTTACCCCAATGGACTTGAACAAAGGTCACGATCATGACTTTGATACTTTTCATAGCCCTATAAAATATGGGGACTACAGGCCTTCCGAAACTTCAGGAAATGTCATTGACACCTTTTTGACATATTTGACATCTGTGACCTTGAATACAAGCCAAGGTTATATATTTTGACAACTTTCATAGCCTTTATCTCGGCAATTAAATGGTAAAAAAAAATGAGCCTTGGGTTTTGAACTTGAAAAGAGGTCGTTTGAATATTTTCAACGTAGTTGACCCTTTTTACCTTTGACTGAAGACCAGGTGTCTTACTAGCATATTTAAAAGCCCCCATCCCATTCAACGAGCAGTCTCGTTCATGACCCTTGACTTATTGTTCATAAGGAGACATCGAAAGGTCGCGGTTGTTGACGGACGAGGAAAATGGATAAGTCGGATCAGGGCATCTAAAAAATTTCACTGATTGGTTTTCCATCGATTGTTATTGTATATGTCATAACTTCTATTGTCTTGTTGAATAAACTGTTGTTTAAATTAACGATAAATTGCAAACACTGAGACTCAACTAATAAAGAATCCCTCTTTTCCTGTACTGGATTAATTGGACGATGGACCGATTTACCAATTAAAATCGGACATCATTAATCAAGGGAAAACAAGAAACCATGTTCCTTTACCGCAAGGTCAATACATAATTTTATGATAGCAAAATAGTAGAATAAAACTACATGTACAGTGAAATTGATCAGGATTCCGCGCCATTGTTGGCGTCTGCTACAGTCACCCCGAACTAAGGAGCGGTGCTCCTTAATATGGTCAGGGTAACTCGAGCGCGAGATGAAACAGGTGTTTTATTTCCCCGCTATGTGATCAATGCAACCTTATCAGACACGCTGCTAGATGATGTATAATAACATATGTTTTGAAGGATTTTATTGCATGTTTTGCGGGAAAATACAACATGTTTTGCGGGACAATATGACATGTTAAATGGAAAAATATGACATTTTTAGTGGGACAATTTGATATGTTTTGTGGAACAATAGGTCATATTTAGTGGAAAATATGACATGTTTAGTGGGACAATTTAATATGGTAAGTGGGATAATATGACTTATTCTATTGAGAAAAAATGATATGTTTAATGGGACAATATGACATGTTTAGTGGGACAATATGAC